CCAGAGTTTTGGTGCTCCCAGTATATTTACCTATAGTAAGACAAGTAAGACAAGGTGATTCTTTGGGTAAAATTGGGACAAGTTGGGTCATTAAATATTCTAGCACCCTGGAGCATATAGGCATGCTTGCCTGAGTGGTTTGGAAACTTATTGCAAGGGCTACTTGTACAGGGGCCAGCCATTTTTCTTAATCATGTGTTGGTCTGATTTGTCACCCCATTTGCTACGCACGGATTGTAGGTTAAGTACCCCTAAATCCGATGGTGAAAAATCAAAAAGAATATCTGTGTATCGTGGATTTGCCATGTCCCGAGACCTTCAATTTTGCAAATAACATGGGCAAATAAAGAAGGTACCAAGGCCAGGGCCAGATAGAAATTCAGTCATTTTATAGATATGATTATATAACCTGTACATAGTTTCTACAGATATTTTTAGATAAATCAATACATATACATATATTGCGATATATAATACGTATATATATAATACATATATATAATACATAATATATAATATATTATATATATATTATAATATATATATATAATATATTATGTTATATATATATATAATATTATATATATAATATATGTAATATATATAATATATAATATATATACTAAATAATATATATAATATATAATATATAATATATAATATATAATATATAATATATAATATATATATAATATAATATATATATATATAATATATATATAATATATATAATATATATATAATATATAATATAATATATATATAATATATATAATATATTATATATATAATATATTATATATAATATATTATATATATAATATTATATATACAATATATATAATATATAATATATATAATATATATAATATATAATATATATATAATATAATTTATATAATATATAATATATATAATATATAATATGTATAATATGTATAATATGTATAATATGTATAATATGTATAATATGTATAATATATATATATATACATATTATATTTATAATATATATATATATAATATAATATCATACATTATAATAGCATATAATACAATACAATATAAGATAGTATAATCTAGTATAGTACAATATATGTTATAATATAATGTAATATAATATAATACAATATATCATATACACTTAAAACAAATACGCTGGAGGCTAGCGCCCATGCCCACAGGATGCTCGCGTGTCTCAGCTGAGACAACTGGTGGCTGCGGCAGAGGACGGCTCCAAAGTGATTCGTGACTGGTGGTTCATAGTCAAGTTGTACTGTAAAGGTTTTCACCATTGCAAAGTTCGTCGATGTTGGTGGACATCCAGAGATTATCAGGTGTCGTCAAGCATGGACCTGCCACTCAAATGGGCATAGTTTTGCCTGCAAATTGCAGAAACATCAGTATTCATACCACCAAACAAGCATCATATTTGGGGAGGTGGCCAGGTGGCCAGTCCTGCAGGATTTTGATGTCTTTTGCCATTCAAGATACCTGGCATTTCCATGCCATTTCCAGTGTTCTGATCCGGAAGATTCCGGAAGATGATGTTCCAGACCTGGAAATAGCAGTAGATTGATCTGTTCACGACCACTAATATAAATGTAGATATCTCATATCATATATGGGTTCCTCATTCCTCTTGTTTGACTTATATGATTAGTTACTTAATAACTTACTCGTAGTTGCTATAAGTCTAAAAAAAATCTACGTTTCTGTTTTCCCTTGAGAAACGTAACGTGGCGCGTCAGGACGAGATCATCGACATGCGCCTGCGATTGCAGTCCTGTGCGGAGTACACCCGTCAGTCGATGCATGGACTCACCAGGTGGGGTAGACGCTGGTTACATGGCTATTAAATGTAGTAACTTCCATGGGATGTACATGGATATACCAGAATTTTACAATTATAATGAAACATACATATACTATATATATACACATATAGTACCCAAAATATAATATATATTAATATGTATATATATATATATACTATGAGGGTTACTAACCTCTTACTGCATGGTATGCGACGGGATGCATCTTGAACTACTGATGTACTTTCAAGAAAAAATGCTGAGTCCTTGGCAATCTAGATGTGCTACGATATTTCAAATATAATGATGATAATTGTATATATATACTGTATATGTGTTTCCCTATTAGAAGGGTTGAGGTGCTATTCTGCCCTGATATGTCATGATATTTCCATATATTTTCCTACATAAGGGGAGCTTAAGGTGTCGTGATATGTTGGTCTCACCACAGATGGATCTTACGGCCTGGGGCGGACATGCAGGATTTAGACCATAGTTGGTGTGGTCATTTCTTTTTGTAAGATGGACAACCCCAGCAAGGGGTACTTACTAAGTTGGTCCAAGTTTGTTTCGTCCAGTTTCGGACTTAACTGGGACTATGCTCCAAGTTTTTGCAGAGGCGGACAACAAATCATGGGAATTTACCATTCACAATCATCCTTTCACCCGCAGACATGGGGATTTGACAAAAACCACTCAACCACCTATATTCAATATCTGAGTAGATAGACAACAAATCACATCTCAACCACCCTGAAAAGGAAATAACAAAAACACATTTTGACTATTTATTTATCCCACAAGTATTACATACCTGCAAGAAAACACACACACACACATATGTATAATAATATATATATAGAGCAACAGAGACACTCCAGTATCATATATGACTGTGGGAGAAGAGCTTGTCATTTCTTCACTTCCCAACCAGTGGCCGTTTTGAGGCACGGTAACATTTAAGCGAAACTCGCAGCCTTTCTGGCCCGTGTTGATTGGTCAATACACCAAGCATGGAGAGTGCTGCGGCTGGTGGATTCAGAGTGTTTTCCCGGTTTGCTCGGGTGACTCCACACACACCAAGCGGAGTGACAACCGATGGAAACAAGAGTTGGAGACACATATTATATGTATATAAATCTCAACTCTGGTTAACAGCGATTGTTGAAGGTACTGGATTGACATATGCTTCTATATATCATAATTCCAGTTGACCAATATTAAACATCCAACAGGGGCCCAATATGAACAGATTCATTACGTTTTGCCAGGTTTTTCCAGGCCGGTTGCTTAAAATTGGAGCAGAGATTCCAAAAAAATCTTAAGTTTCAGATGAATTAGCAGAATTGTTGAATCATCATAATCATCATCATCATCATCATCATCAGTTGGGATTTGGATGTGCTAGGATTTTCGTCTATGTTTGTTGGCTATCATCCATAATACCCCAAACCTTCCAAGGCATCCCTAACAGCCATGTTGACGCCGGCGCGGTATGCTTCCGTTTCGTCGGCCGGACCCAGGCACCGTGGAACATGGGCACCGTAAAGTGATGGGAATGGCTGGGTAGACATAGGTGAATGGTTTGTCAATGGTTGTTTTGTTTTGTACGGATTTGTTTTTGAAGTTTCTGAACAAAGAGTTGTTGTTTTTTGATTTCGAAGTTCGAAAGAGTATCTATATTGTCAGTGATGAAGGCCAAGGGTTTATACATTTGTCATACCTGCTTTGAATGTGGTTTAAATATGTGCTTTTGTATTTGTAATTATATATGTAATGTATTTGTGATTATGTACGTGCAAGTATGTATATGTAATTTTAATTATATATGATTATATATATATACGTGTATATATTGTACTGTAATTATGATGGATATTCAGATATTCTTCTTAGGGAGAACCTTGCTGGCATGTTTGACGTTTTTTTGTTGTTCACTATATTCATGTGTACTGGTACATACGGGATGGGTGGGAGGGAGGGTAAAATAACGTTCACATGAACTTGCAAAGGATATATCACTCTAAACGATGTTACATACACTAGAGATGTCTATCGACGTATCGATATGTTAATCCATCTCTTAATCTACTATTCTTAATCTTTATATCTATCTGTCTATCTATCCTATCCTATCCTATGCTATGCTATGCTATCCTATCCTATTCTATCCTATCCTATCCTATCCTATCGATCTATCTATCTATCTATCTATTTATCTATTTTTCTATCTATCTATCTATCTATCCATCTATCTTTCTATATATATTTATATGTCTATCTATCTATTTATTTGTTTGTTCATCTATCTATCAATCAATCAAACTATCAAACTATCAAACTATATATGTGTCCATCCATCAATTCGTCCATCCATCCTTCCATCCTTCCATCCATCCATCCTTCTATCCATCCATCTATTTTTTTTTTGTTTTGTCTATCTATCCATATGTATATGGTATATGTTTTGAACTTTAAATATGTACATAGAGGTAGATAGAACAACCAATAAAACCACTATGTTTCGTGTCCTTGGGCACACTTGACTTGAAGGAAAGTCATCACACCAAGAACAGCAATAGTTGTGTTTAATTTACAATTTGTTGACACATAATTCAACCTATATGGCACATATGATTAAACACTATTAAACAATCATTGTTATAAGGGCACACGTTAATTCTTATTGTTGATGATTCACGTATTAACAATAATAATAAATGTGATGATTCAGCGATATCAATGTGATGATAGTAATGGAATCATAAGAAGAATTCTTGGTGAGGACGATGAACTATGACAGTGGCAAAGTGGGTGGGATCGTCACCCAAACGGGATATTTAAGGTGTAAAAACCTGGTGAGATACCACTTGGTTTCACTCAGGGAACATCTGAGGAACCTACCCTTCAATTAGTAAGTGCTACTGTACATATACGGCGCATACGCCATGATTTGGACTGCAACCTCTAAAGACGGGCGATGCTGAGAGATATCATCAGTCTGATGCTGGCATCCCCATGTTCAAAATTATTATCCGAAAGCATCCGAAAGCGATGTTCTTTTTTTCATCAATAGATTGGCTTCATATTATTCTAAGAATTGTACTTAAACCACACTTTGGCCATTTCAGATTAAGTAATCTCCCGAAAACAGTTGCCATGTTTTCTTGGACTGCCATTTAGCAGGCCGCCGCGGTCTTTGCAACACCGTGCGAAACCTGCGCGCAGTGCCACGAGTCCTGCCGCGCCAAGCACCGAGGCACTTTTTTTTTTGGGGGGGGGCAGGGTAGATTCGCCATTTAAAATGACAGACACCATGATCGGATGTTGATTGTAAGGAAACGACTATCCGATGAACAGTCTATATAATTATATATAATTGAATGATTAAACAATAAAAAGACCCGACATGATTGAAACTGTGAGTATGTGTATTTTTTGAACCAGGTATCATGTTTTGAAGTATCTTCAGTTTGATTTGCATTCTTTATTCTACAACATATACATATGATATATATATATATATATGCTGTATATATATATATGTTATTATGTGTATATATGTATATATACACGCTACGTATGTATATATATATATTACATATATATATATATATTACCATATATTACACATATGTGTATACATATGTTATATCTATACATATTGGATACCAATGGCCTACATAGTTCTTTTGCGGAGGGTTTGGTGTTTCATTTATTTATTTATTTCCTACTAGTATCTCTATCTCTATGTGTATCTATCCATGTATATACATACCCAGATGCTCCGTGCTCCATGGTGCTAGAATATTTACCCTTGTTACCTATGCATTTACCCCAAAATATGACAATTTTTGGGGTAAACACACGGTAACATACGTGGAGACTATGTTATATTTATATATACATATATATATATATATACATATGGGTTTATCTGAAAGTGATGTACTCAGTACTACTCCAAATTCCAATGTTTATCGTCAATGTCCTATTAAAGTAATCATTTGGGGAGGTACACCCTTGGTATACCACATTTTTGACAGACCTATGTACATATATAATATAGATAGGAATTATAGCATATACCATATTATACCATATTATATACCATATGTAATCATATATGTATACCATATTATATCACTATTGCATATATACCATCGTATATTTACATGTATGCACACACATCGTATCTGTATACCACCCAGGTCATATTCTATGTACACGTAAAAAAATGCTCAATTCTGAGAGATCTCCTAAAATTACCCAGAATTTCATTTCTATATGCTATTCAATGGATTGGTTTAGGGGGAAATCCCGGGGAAACCATATATTTTCCCATGAAATATTAGGTGTTCCTGTAAATTTCCTTCAACCAATCCATTGATCTACGTACATGATTAATGGTGGCTACTGATTAGTGTAGGGCCCTCCCCTACAATTTTGGTCTACTCAATAACTCGGCATTTTTCTTGGGAACCAGGTCTGTGGAAATCAGGATGATCAAATAAAGTAAGGATTTCAATTGAAATCAATCTACGTTCAATTGCTTTTCCTTTTAATCTTTGAAGCAATCTATTGATAAGACATGGTTTCAATTGAAATCAATCTACTTTCAATTGCTTTTCCTTTTAAACCTTAAAGAGATCTATTGATAAGAACGGATTTCAAATGACATCAATTTACTGTCAATTCATTTGAATCTACGTTCAATTGCTTTTCCTTTTAATCTTTGAAGCAATCTATTGATAAGAAAGGATTTCAATTGAAATCAATCTACTTTCAATTGCTTTTCCTTTTAAACCTCAAAGAGATCTATTGATAAGAAAGGATTTCAATTGAAATCAATTTACTTTCAATTCATTTGAATGTACTTTCAATTGATTTTCTGTTTAAACCTCAAAGAGATCTATTGATAAGAACGGATTTCAAATGACATCAATTTACTGTCAATTCATTTGAATCTACTTTCAATTGATTTTCCTTTTAAACCTCAAAGAAATCTATTGATAAGAACGGATTTGAAATGAACACAAGTTACTTTCAATTCATTTGAATCTACTTTCAATTGATTTTCCTTTTTAACCTCAAAGAAATCTATTGATAAGAACGGATTTCAAATGAAAACAATTTACTTTCAATTCATTTGAATCTACTTTCAATTTATTTTCCTGTTTCTGTAATGTCAAAAAAAACGTCCCAAAAGTTTTTGTGCACAATAGGGTTCTATCCAATCAATTTCACTATTGAATTGAGGATCTGGGTCACTCATGGGGTACCACCTTGAAAAATTGTTTGGGTGCTGTTTTTTAATCAGGGTTTAATAAGGCATCTAATCATTTGGGAAACCTTGCATTTTCAAGGCTTTAACATGGGATATGGCTTTCTAAAGTAAATGGTCCAGCTTTACCCAAAGAAAGGTGTATCAAGGTGGATAAAACTCCTCCTGAAAAAATTGGATCGGAGAAAAAACTTCTCACAATAGAGGCCCACCCCCACCATTCACAGGATACTCAATAATTTTTGAACATGTCTCACAATAGAGGTCCATGACACTAATCGGTATACTATAATATATATAATTATATAATATGTGGATATATGTGATATATAATATGGTACAATATGGTATAATATGGTACTATACTATGCATTATATGCACTACCCATATATGGCCACGCGAAAAAAACCTCGAGATCGTCAGCTGCCAACAGTTCAGGTCACAGCTGCCAACTTCCGCGCCCGCGCGGCCATTGCAGCGGCAGCCAAGGTGGCGCAGTGCTCGCCCACGGCGAGGGCAAGGCGATGGGATGAACAGAGTCATGATGGGATGAGAACATCGGAAAATCTTGGGAAAGTCATGGAAAATCCTAGGAAAATCGTGAAAATCCATGTTTATAGCTGGGAAAATCACCTATCTTTGATTTGCTGCTGATGTTTTTGATTTTTTTGCTGGGAAATCCACTGAAATCCACTACTACTTGGTGAATCTATAGGGAGTATATTTTACTTTTTTGGGGGTTCCTTAAAGCAAATCCAAGCCGAAAATCAAACAAACATGTGTTCGCAAATGTTGATTTAATGCGCTAGTACTAAACCATTGAGAAGTGGGATTCACGGGTTGTTCACACAAATTTAGAATTTCATGTGGGTTAAGCATAAATAATGTCTATTCAAACATCACATTGTTTGGGTATGATCTGATCAAAGTGTGTTTTGTCCACTAAATGGTAATGGGAAAATGTGCTGGGATTGAGTTGTTTATTGGTTGAACCATCTGTAAATGGGGTTATTAATATACATTTTTTTATCAAACTGGTTCAAATATGGGATTGACCCTGGGACTTATTTCATGTTTTTTTCACTGGAGATGAAGTGGTGATTTTCAACAGAGAAAAGTTATTTTCAACAGACAAATGTAGGGGATTTCAGTGATTTAAGCAACAATTTCAGTGAAACAAACAGCAGATGTTTTTTTCAGTTTGGGACTCCCCAAACTATGGGACTGTTGCAGATTCTCGACCAAACATGGCTGATTTTTTTTGTGGTTTTTGTGGGATCACCGGGCATCACCATATCTTATAATCACGAAGATCTGGATAGGAGGATGATCCTTGAAGTATGGACCCATTGTGAGAAATCTTCGTGATTTATGGTGATTTGGAAAATGTGGGGATGTAGGGTAGTATAGCTGGAAATCATTTACTAACTTCAAGGGTCAGCAGGTGTTTGGATGTTATATATATATATATATGAATATGTGATTATGTGGCTATGAGTCAAAACCCTGGCACCCTAGGTACCCTAAAATAATTGGGTAAGGGATAGTTATTCCCCCAAACTAGTAAATGTCGATAGGCAGTAGCAATATAAATAGTAGGAGTCATAGTCATGGTCATAGTCACAGTAATAGTCACGGCAATAAGAACAGCAGTGATAACAACATTAAAACCAATATTTTTAAAACACACACACACACAACAAACAACAATAGATACAGTACCCTCTGGTAATCAAACATGGCAATTGAACACCCATCATTGATATAGAAACATCATTCTAAGTGTATGATAATTAATGTTTGGAAACCCAGGGGTCATTCTTCACTTGTGCACTATAGTTGATTTTTCCAGCTATAAACTTGTTTTTTGAGATTTTCGCCGTGTCCTTTGCAGTGTCACGTTTGGGCCGTCACTTGCTTGGCTCTGTGGGATGCGGCACAGGTACGGTTCAAGCTGCAACCTTACTCCCTCAGCTTGATGGTTCCGATGAACCAGCATACAAACTCTGGGGCTTTGAAGTGGGATCACGGATGCTGGCAGCAGATGCAGAGCTTGCCTCCAAAGTGCTTCATCGTTTGCACTTGGACACCATGCCTGAGGGGAATCACCAAGACTGCATCGTCCTGTATTCAGGCTTCTACTTGGCATTGGGCCTTGAGAAACCTTTGCTGACCAGCGTTGAGGATCTCATTGACAGATTTGAGGGCTGCTTGAGTGGTCTAGCGACATGCCACTAAAAGATGCAGATGATGCAGCTACCCTTAGCACCTGCTTAGAAGATGGGAATCTAAAGGGCTGATCCTCCACCTTCGTCTTCTGACAGAAGCAGAGCGCTATTCAAGAAGGGTCCATGGCACAAGGAAAAAACGGAAACACATTATAGAACATATAAATCATATAAACAAATTAAAACCTTCATTTCTTCAGGGATCTTCCAGCCACGTTTGACGACACTGCAGGCCTTCAGGTGCCGGCGCATCTGCTGCACGGCTGCAGCGCTGGCGCAGGACACAGGAGCCCTTGGTGCTGTGCAGCACAGAGCAAGGGCTGGAGGAGGCCGAAGCTCTTGGATGACTATTGACGATTTTTCTTGGTGTGTAATAGTTACAGTTGTTCATAGTGTTTAATAGTGGTGCATCATGGTTTATAGTGGTTGATAGTGGTGAATCATGGTTTATAGTGGTTGATAGTGGTGAATCATGGTTTATAATGGTTGATAGTGGTGAATCATGGTTTATAGTGGTTGGTAGTGGATAGTTGAGAATCATGTGGGGAACCCAATGCCATAAACCTGTTTACCATTTGGGGATGGTAAACATAGCACCCATTGATGGTGATGACTTGGGGCTGGTTTATGAAAATAATTTTACCACATAAAATAGTTATTTCTTGATGGGGATGCAATGCATGAAGATAGATGTAGAGCCCACATGCTCCATGGTGCTGGAGTATTTACCTACAAAATCAACCGTAAATATACCAACATCTATCGGAGGATCTGATTCTACCTACCACATTGTTTTTTGGTTAGATTATTGAAAAGATTCCATCTTTGGAGGATGTATAATACCACCAATTTCAAGTGCCGGAATGGTATAGGTTTTTCGGATGTTTTCGGTTTACCACGCAAAAGAAGGGTTTTTTGCGTCAGGGTTGCATGGTTGTATAAACATTTTGAAGTGATGACATTTATCATCTTGATGGTGATTCAACCCACCAAGGTGGAGATTCAATTCCATGAAATCAGAATTTTTGGGTGTCCTACTGTGGATGGAAGAAATCCTACACCAGTTGACAGATGGTTTATCCCATTATTTTTTATAGGGGTTCAACCATCCTTTTGGTGGTGCAGGATTTCTTCCATGCACACTATTTTGAGTCGAACCCTCCGGTACCCCAGAAATGGCAAGCGTTATCTGAACTTGGAAGTGACTGGATTGAACATATTTGTACATCCCAATACAGTCAAGTATGAACAATACTCATGAAATGTATTGAAATGTTACATTAATAGTCTTATTAATGAATAATATTGGCATATAAATGTTACAAATGAACATGTTATTCATATCATATTTGCAATGAACATGTTCATCACATTATAATGATCGTTGTTTTCATCTATTCATCTTCCTACATCCTTCATGTTCGAAGGGTTGACCAAACAGAAACAACTGGTTCATCAGTTAACAATGTTCCACGGTGAACGTTTCCGTTATATCTTTTAGTATGAATATATTCCTACTGCACAATATGAACGAATAAGTCTCCCAGCTTCTTCCAGTTACACTCATATACACGCAGCATATACATTCACGAACAATCAATCCTGGTTGGACAACCTAGTCGCAAACCAACTTACCTGGCAACCTCTCTACTTAGCACAGAAATGGAGTTGTTTAATGGTTTAGTAAATGAATTTTGTCCCATTGTATATCATACCAAATGTAAGAGGACACAACCCTTTGCGCAAATCCCATGGATAGTCTGGTCTGGTCATACACCAACTGACGTATCATAAAGTCAACATTTGTCAGTGGTAAATCCACCCTTTTACTGGTTAAATCCCTGTGTTCATTGAGTAAATCCCTGATTGTTGTTGCCGCAGTTCGCTGGCAGATCCTCTCCCTTGAACTGCGACGCAGCGGCCTCGCGCCAGTGAAGCTCGGGTCCGCCTGGTGCGTGAGCCGAGGAGAGGCGGTACTCTTTGGTAAACTCACATAGACGGGATTTAATGGGATTATATGCGATTATATGGGATTATATGGGATTTAATGATGGTTTAATGGGATTATATGGGATAAAATCGGATTATATGGGATTTAATGATGGTTTAATGGGATTATATGGGATAAATATGGGATAAATATGGGATCTACCCTCTGGTAATTTGTTACAGTTTGCTATTGAACATGGTCCATTTAGTTCGTTGATTTACCTAATTTTACCTATTATATAAAGATGGTGATTTCCATAGTTATGTTATGTTATGTTAGTTTACTCTAGAGGGTAACTGTGGAAAATGGTCCATTTACTTCGGTGATTTACCTATTAAGATGGTGACTTTCCAGGTCGTTCTATAAGTTTACTGGAGGGGACCACCAATTCCACGTATTCTACCATTTTCTCCACTCAGATCGTTAGTGATATAATGTAAACCCATTTCACTAGAAACATATTTTCTAAGAGTAATTATACTATTGTCCAATGCGCATTTTCCACTGGATAATGTGTTTGTTCTCCCTCTAACTCATTTCGCTGAATTACAATAGTTTACTAACCTGAAATAGCCGAAAACCATTTGGGGAAGATTCGCCGAAAACTCGTATCATTTGACGTCGCAGGTCATTGTAGTTCAGGTAATACAATGGATTCACCTTTATGGATGGATGTCCTTTTACAAATGGTTGATTCATAGAGGAATCCCTGTATGAAAATGAAAACCTGCCGATAGGTAGATGATAATATTTATTATACAAATAATATTAAACTGCCCCCACTATTGTTCCTAAAAGGCCAATATTGGTGTGAACTATATATGTAGTATGGGTCCATGCGTGGAATATTTTGTTCTGGAATATGTCCCAATATTTACCAACAAAATCACCCAAATGTAGGTAAATATGAATCATATACGCAGCGATAGTTTAGCGTTTGATCTTCCTGAATGGAGCTCTAAGCAGTTGATGATGCAGCACCATTTCATGAAGAAAGTGACCTTTTAGCCCTAAATGGATGAAAAATCAAGAGTGACTTCAATATCGTTTACTTAATTCTGAACTATTTCCCCAGTTTAGATGGACATCATTACGTGGCCTTTTCAGGAGCTCATACTCGAATGCTTCAGCTCTATAGCGTGGCTCAGAAGCAGAGAAGTTTGTTCCTGGATGAGCACATGGTTTTTCTCACATGTTTCATGGAGACATATTGTGCCACGATCAAACATAGGTTGTATTTTCCAAAAGAGGGATTATTGATTATTATATCCATTAATAGGGATTTAGATACCCATTATATATATAAATCATTATAAGGATTCCCAGTATGACATGGATGACCGTAATTCATTTACGATGTCTTGAGCATTACATATATGGATCCTGGTTTTTTCCAAGAAACAATGTGGTTCATCATCATGTCCTTTTGACATTGCCAATATGCCGGGTTTACACCATTTTCTCAGACACATATTCATATACTGTAAGAAAACAATCTACAAATGCAGAAATAAATCCAAAATGTAGTAGATGGTAGATTGTTGTTTATTTTAACAGAAATAAATCAGAAATACCATCAGCCAAAACCAAATGCATCAGCCACATATGTGGTAGATGGAGAATGATGGGATACCATCGGAGTTTTAATATGGCTGCACGCCAAAATGATGAGGTGATACTCTACTCATGAAGGGAGTTGGGGGCTTGGTGATGAGGTAATGCTAGTGTTTCTGGAGTCAAATAGAATAAACATGTTCCCTCCAAACCCCAGGTTCGCCCACGCTCAAACAACACATCCAAACAATATGATATACTTATCACCAGAGGATGAAAGAAAACACTGACTATACGCACTAATTTTTGACTTTAAGTTTTCAGGATTTAGGGTTTTAGGTTTTAGGGTTTTAGGGTTTTAGGGTTTGTTGTTTTGGAAGGTAAAAAACTTAAACCCTACGCATCGCCGCGGGCAAACCTAGGGTTTGCAGCGAACATGTTGTATTATGTTGTATTCATGTTCCAGTTTTTCCCGAGAGCGCCTGCGAAGGGTTCTTCGTAAAAAAGCAGCCGTTATACTAGATCTTCACTCCTTCACATCTGCTGATCTAGATCTTCACACCCTCACACCTGCAGATCTAGATCTTCACACCTTCACACCTGCAGATCTAGATCTTCACACCTTCACATCTGCAGATCTAGATCTTCACACTCTCACATCTGCAGATCTAGATCTTCACACCCTCACACCTGCAGATCTAGATCTTCACACCCTCACATCTGCAGATCTACATCTTCACACCCTCACATCTGCCGATCTAGATCTTCACACCTTCACATCTGCAGATCTAGATCTTCACACCCTCATATCTGCAGATCTAGATCTTCACACCCTCAAGATCTTCACACCTTCACATCTGCAGATCTAGATCTTCACACCCTCACATCTGCAGATCTACATCTTCACACCCTCACATCTGCCGATCTAGATCTTCACACCTTCACATCTGCAGATCTAGATCTTCACACCCTCACATCTGCAGATCTACATCTTCACACCCTCACATCTGCAGATCTAGATCTTCACACCTTCACATCTGCAGATCTAGATCTTCACACCCTCATATCTGCAGATCTAGATCTTCACACCCTCACATCTGCAGATCTAGATCTTCACACCCTCACACCTGCAGATCTAGATCTTCACACCCTCACACCTGCAGATCTAGATCTTCACACCCTCACATCTGCCGATCTACATCTTCACACCCTCACATCTGCCGATCTACATCTTCACACCTTCACATCTGCAGATCTCCTCTCGCTCTTCTTCTATTTCTCTCTTTAGGCGGGGGCGGTGCCGCCGGAGCGCCACGAAACGCAACCCTTTCGCACGAAATGGACGTTGGACGCCAAAAACTGAGGTAAAATTGCGATTTTACTTTGTCCATTGCAACCCTTTCGCACGAAATGGACGTTTGACGTCAAAAACTGAGGAAAAGTTGCGACTTTGACGCGTCCCGCGCAACCCTTTCGCACGAAATGGACGTTGGATGTCAAAAACTGAGGAAAAATTGCGACTTTACTTTGTCCATCGCGACCCTTTCGCACGAAATGGACGTTGGACGTCAAAAACTGAGGAAAAATTGCGACTTTGAGGTGTCCCGCGCAACCCTTACGCACGAAATGGACGTTGGACGTCGAAAACTGAGGAAAAATTGCGACTTTGAGGTGTCCCGCGCAACCCTTACGCACGAAATGGACGTTGGACGTCAAAAACTGAGGAAAAATTGCGACTTTGATTTGTCAATCGCAACCCTTTCGCACGAAATGGACGTTGGACGTTAAAAACTGAGGAAAAATTGCGACTTTGAAGTGTCCCGCGCAACCCTTACGCACGAAATGGACGTTGGCCGTCAAAAACTGAGGAAAAATTGCGACTTTGAAGTGTCGCGCGCAACCCTTACGCACGAAATGGACGTTGGACGTCAAAAACTGAAGAAAAATTGCGACTTTGAAGTGTCCCGCGCAACCCTTACGCACGAAATGGACGTTGGACGTCAAAAACTGAGGAAAAATTGCGACTTTGAGTTGTCAATCGCAACCCTTACGCACGAAATGGACGTTGGACGTCAAAAACTGGGGAAAAATTGCGACTTTGAGTTGTCAATCGCAACCCTTACGCACGAAATGGACGTTGGACGTTAAAAACTGAGGAAAAATTGCGACTTTGAAGTGTCCCGCGCAACCCTTACGCACGAAATGGACGTTGGCCGTCAAAAACTGGGAAAAATTGCGACTTTGAGTTGTCAATCGCAACCCTTACGCACGAAATGGACGTTGTGTGTAAAAGCTCTGTGTGTAAAAGCAAAAGCGTTTGTGTGTAAAAGCGTCTGTGTGTAAAAGCAAAAGCGTTTGTGTGTAAAAGCGTCTGTGTGTAAAAGCGTCTGTGTGTAAAAGCTTCTGTGTGTAAAAGCGTCTGTGTGTAAAAGCGTCTGTGTGTAAAAGCGTCTGTGTGTAAAGGAGTCTGTGTGTAAAAGTTTCTGCGTGTAAAAGCTTCTGTGTGTAAAAGCCCCTGTGTGTAAAAGCGTCTGTGTGTAAAAGCGTCTGTGTGTAAAAGCGTCTGTGTGTAAAACCGTCTGTGTGTAAAAGCGTCTGTGGTGTAAAAGCGTCTGTGTGTAAAACCGTCTGTGTGTAAAAGCGTCTGTGGTGTAAAAGCTTCTGTGTGTAAAAGCGTCTCTGTGTAAAAGGTTCTCTGTGTGAAAAACTTTACGAAAGATACGATGCAAACTATATTGTCTTGATACTGATACTACTCTTCTCGTCTTCCTATAATACATCTTTAATGTATTGTCTTGTAATATGGTGTCTCCATACTAACAACAGAAGACCCTGCTCCTCTACGCTCTCGGGCCATCCGTCGTCTAGTGTTTTTGCGGTCAACGTAGATCTATCAACAGGCAATCGACTATCATACTATCATAATGAAGTTAGCAGGCAGGCGCCGAGAAATGCAGAATTTTTTGGTGACTGAATTACAATCTCCTCAAAACACCAACAAAAAGAAGTACTATGTTACTATAACTTATAAATCATCCATGTTCTTATGTACTATAGTCATAAAATGTCATTAACCATATGTATTTTAACAGAATTTTCCAATCATCCAGTTGCACCGGCCACCGGCCCGAGGCCACCAGAGTGAGGCATCCCAGTGGCCCACCCGGGAAAACCGGGCAGATTTCCCATGGATTTCCTAGGGATTTCCTATGGTTTACTATATGGTATTCTTACGGCGGTTTCCTATGGATCTAAAAAAACTATGGATGTTTTTTGTATGTGTTTTAATGATTTTATATAATGTTTTTTTTCATTGTTGTTCTTAGATCCACTGAATTGAATGCTGAAACTGGCCATAACTGGCCACGGGTCGGTTCCAGCTGGACACGGTGGGTTCATATTACCCCTGAAAGGTGCTTGCAACCGAGACGATCATGTTTGACTATATAATAGATATACATGGTGTATGAATAAATTATAGTGTTGGATATATATATATATATATTATAAATATCAAATAGACAACATGTGTATATATATATATATATGGTTGGGGATTGAATTTTGACCCACAGCCCCCACGCAAACTGTTTCTGATAAACGTGCCATGTATTTTTTTGCTCGTGATGTTTGTGACAAATTGGTATGGACCATATTTAAGGGCAAATCACAATGACTCACTCTGAAACCTTTTTTGGAGATGACTCGCATTACTAACCATATCTTACCATACCATCATCTATTTGGGTGCGCCTCACAACTCTAAGCTCATGGCCATCAAACAATAGTTAGAAAATATCGAACAGCATGAATACAGTAACCAATGCATTTAGGGTATCCTATTTTCAACCAAACCCACCTGATCATCTATAGTTCTTGCCATCCAGTCAGGTCAGTCACCTCTTTGCCCTGGTGATAGACGATGAGTTTGAAGCCTTGACGATTGCGGAGGATTTGGCTACAAAGTTGGAGGCCTGCCAGTGACGTAACCGGGGATACCAAAGGGCAATTCACTCTTTCATGTCTAAAGGCTAATCAGCAATTTCTATGAATCTCCCAGGAAATGGCAGATGTCAGAGGTCCGTACGGTCCGTAGCCCTTTTAGGTTGCGATATCCAATTGCTAGTCTGTATGGTGATGGCCGTCTCTTGAACCAGCAAAGTGGCAAAAACCGTGGCAAAGGTACCGACATGCAGAGGACAGGTGATTCACTGCCAACTGCGTGCGGTGTTCATTCGCCAGAATTGGAGAACGGGACAATTTACTTCGGGAACTCGCGAAATGTGGGGTCAAAACTGTCAAACATATATTAAAACCATTATTTATATACTGTACGTAGATTTTACCTTAAACCAATCCATTGAACCAAGTGTATGCTTAGTCCTTTCCATCTTGGCAGGCGTTGCTTGAGCCGGGAGCCTTAGAAGAGGCCTTGGACGCAGCACGTGGTAAGCAATCCAAGGTGGGGCAATGGCGGGTGGAATGGAGTTTTATTGGTACCCTGAAGCAGATCTTCATCCCCCGCATATTATGGCTATATATTTCAATATATATATGTTACGACACATCCTCCATAAGGCGAACTTTTGGTTTTGGTACCTTTCAAGCCTCAAATTTCGGTACTTTTACAAGGTATACAATGTGTTGTTGGTATTTTGAAGGGCAATGCACACCACGCACCAAGGGGGTACCAGTTCCCACACTAACATCACTAACCGAAACCAATGGACTCACCCATGATCAGTCAATATCAGTCATTTTTTGGCACCAGGAAGCCTCAAGTCTTTTTGGGTACTTTTGACTTTGGGGCATAACAAGGTGGTGAGCAGGTGCCGGTGATGGAAGAATATGAAGAATACATCAATTTGTTTAGGTGCCTGTCTTCCATGTCAAGAATTTGGGCCTGACCTGACTATGCTTTGATTTGACTGGATTGAACTGCCACCTATCAGTTGGAAAGGTGCCGAGATATGACATTCGCTTCTCTTCGGAAAGGACGTCGGGTCCGTGTTTTCGTCAGCAGTGCTTTTTTGAGAAGGGAACCAGTTGGGGGAGCCGAAAAGCTGGTGACACTGAACTCCCAGAGATCCACCATGGCGGACGTTTGCCAGCCATGACGCATGGTTAGATGATGTTAGATGGTTAGATTCTCGTTGCAATGCCCCCAGGCTGCATTCATTTCTCATATTATCAGGATGTACCCCAACAATGATGAATAGATCGTTTTGACATACCCCAAAAGTGGTATTTTCCCTATAATCCAGCCATGATTTGTGAATATTATTAGGTATGATTATATATATACATATTATATTGTATAAAACCCATATTGAAGCCATGTTTCTGGGGTATGTCCAATTGGGATATATCAACATGTTCCATTCATGCTCCAGTTTAGGTGTGCCATGGAGGACCCAGTGATGCAGCGGTGCAGGACTCTGGAACCAAAGTTGCGCCAGGTCGTCTCTGAAAGTCTCCGAAGAGGCCCAGTGCCGGGTGGCGGAGGCGGCGGGTGGAATCTATCGAACCTATACCAGGGGCCCCCAAGATTTGGGTAGTTGGATGATGGTGGAACATTAGTAGAACAACCATGAACAACCAAACATTTTACTAGTGTGATCGCCAACTATAAGATATGAAATGACCCGGTTTCATTGGGAAGAACCAAAGCCAATTCATTTCTCTCACTTGTAAATTCCTTTGACCCTGATATCCACCTGTCAGCATCCACCATTGATATAACCCAAACAATACCCAAACGATGTTTGCTCATATCCCTAAATGGTCCCAATTATGTGGAAATTCCCCACTAAACCATGGTTTCTACTGGTGTTTAATATGGGGGATGGGATTATTCCATATTATTCCCCCGTTGTCCCAATGATCCATGCATGTTCTCATGGTCCCGTTCCAGACCGTGGTGAAATCGCAAGACGGAAATCAGGTCTGAAGAAACAAGTCCCATGGCGATTCGATGAGAAGAGGTGTGGCCGCTGGAAAGTGTTGCATTGAGATGTTGCCGCTACCCTCCGCTAATCAAAGATGGTTGGCTGATCCTCTATTTCTCTATTTATTGATGTGTTTTTTCCCATTAAAACCTTCATTTTACAATGGGATCTTCCATTAAAACCTAAATTTATAGTAGATTTAACATGGTTTACCATAAAAACATCTATGTTGATCCGGGATTTCCCAGGAAGTAACTCAAATGTTGACCTTGCAGTGCGTCCTCAGGCCCCAGGTGACACTGTGGGTACACTGGGGTGCGATTGCCCAGCGAGGAGACTTGGGTCTGAGGTTTCCTAAAAGGCGGGTACCCCAATATCTGGATGGGTTTATTTCATGGAACATCCCATTTCTTAATGGATGATCTAAGGGGGCCGCCCCTCCCAGGCCCCAGCTCTTTGGCTTTGGGCCTGGCGTCCGTCCTCTCCGCCGAGCGCCGCAACTTGTGTCGCCTCAGCGCCTTGGGGCTCCTGGGTGCGGAGGCAGCACAAGGTGGCGCCTTGGCGGACCCCTGCTGCGGCCACGGGAAGGTGCTGCAGCTGGCGCTTCGGATTTGGCCCAAGGACCGGGGAAAAGTTGGGGCAACAGGAAACTAGGGACGGTTTCTCCCATAAAATCTCAGGGTTTCCTTTGCATGTTCCTCTCAACCAACCCAATGCTGTATGGATCATAGTTTTTTTTCCTGCTGGTTGGTTGATTAATAGAAGATATAGAAGGCTCCCCCATCAAAACCAAACCGACCCCTCTATTTTTCCTGAAAGGACGATGTTGGGAACATATGAGAGAATGGCAACTCTAATGGATAATGGGGGAAATGATGTTCAAACATGTTCAAACAACAAAAAATGGGAATAATTTGACTAATTGGTGATTGGGTAAATTGAATAAAAATGATATAAATTGATAATTTTCATGGGGGAAATGAATGATGAACCATCAAAAGGTGAAGATATGGAAACTTTATTTGGTAACAGATGATCCGAGATGTGGATTATGGGATTTCAACATGACACATATGGGAGATCTGATATAATTAATGGGATGTGTAGCTTCATATGATGGGAGAGTCCGCAATAGATGGTCGACAAAAAGAGACTCGGACGATTCCGTTGGGATGGCCAATAAGAAAGGACCTCTTATTTCTATTTTTTTGTTTTTTGTGAGTGGTTCACAGTTGAATCTTCAGCATCATTCATGTTTTTTGTGTTTGGAAGGTCCCATGGAAAACCCATGGAAAACCCATGAAAACCCATGATTCATTGATTCGGAGCATGAAAAGAAGCCTTGGCAAAGTGAGTTTTTTTGGTCGTCATAATGGATGGAAAACTGTTTAACTGGCAAAAATGGATGGAAAACTGTTTAACTGGCAAAAAAGAACTAGAATACCTCAGAACATCTCAGAAGAAGCTCACCAGAAATGATGATTAGGGGCAGCAAAGCAATCCCACAAAGACCATGTTTCAGTGAAATTTAAGTGACCTATAAACATCTATAAACATCTATTGCCCAGAGCCCAGAGTCGAGTGTTTCCTCAGTTTCCTCAGCATGATGTGCCCATCCTCAGCATGTTGAGCAACATCCCCAGAGGAGCCTTCCAGAGTTGTTGGGCAAGACCTGAGACAGGCGGCAGTGCTTTGCAGTGCTTTGCAGATCATCCAGGGATCACCTAAAATGGGGGCACCATGTGTGCCATCGTTTTGGATTATGAACCAAGAAAAGGGACATGTGTTTTGTTTACATCGTATCTTGGCATTGGCCATGTTTCCAGATCAGTGCTCAGGAGTATCACCAATCATCTCAGTAAACCACAACCTTAGTTTATTTATAACCATCAATGTATAATGGAAAGATATCCAGTATTTTAACATACCAACCAATGATATCACCGTCATAGCTATGAGATATGAAATAAATATTATCAATGATCACTGCTTAAACTTACATGCTTAAATTATATTAAACTAATATTATAACATATATATATACTACTATGATATATATATATATATATACATATGTAATATTATATATATACATATGTAATATTATATATTATATATATAATATTATATATATATATATATATATATGTACGTATATATGTTCTACAAGGTGGCCCCTTCCAACTTACAAATGGGGTTTCAAGCCCCGTCACCTTTAGTTATAAGTATCATGAAATACTTCAAAACCAACTTTGCTATATCTCAAAAGCACTTAAATTGACTGCAATATGAAATCGATATGTCCATATTATGTTCTATGATTCTATGGTGTTAACCTTCCCACTTTATCCCGGAGGCCGCCCTGAAGACCGCGCAAAAGACCTTGGGCAGCGCGGCAGCGCTGTGCCCGGGCGATGGGGGGCAGCTGGCCCTGCAGCCGGGTGGGCCCCCAGCAGATGGGCCTGGTGGCAGTTTGGCAATGGCTTTGGGTGACCCAGTGATTGAATGGCTAACAATGGTGGTTTAATGGGGAAACCAATCATTTTATGGGATGATAATGGGATATAACCGATAATTTGTGAGATTGTGGCATCAACAATGGGGATTTAAAATGATATATATATATATATATGTATTATTTGTATTCATTTATCATTATATGGGATATGTCTAAGATGCACAAACATATATACTCAGCAATATTATACTTGGGTTTGTCTGAAAATAGGGTATAAACCCCGCATGGCAATTTGAATGGAGACAATATGGGACAATGATGGTTGATCAATGGATTTATAGGTATCATAGTTTCTGACAGACCCATTTTCAGGGTCACGAATCACATGGGGATTTAACCATCACATGGTGATTTAACCATCAGATGGTGATATGGGTGATAAATCGTGGGCGATGGTTATTGTCGTTAGAGTTCCGGCAACGGGGCATGTTTTAAAGCTGAATTGTCTAGAGGTTCTAATGAAGATGTAATTGGGTTGGGGTAATCAACAATTATGACGATAAGATGGGCATATGATGGGGATAGAATGGGATAATGACACAAACAAACATTCTGGGTCAACATCAGTTTACAAATTTAATATTTTACTACAAATGTGGATTTGTACTAACCAGCAAAAACAAATGCAGAGTATCTACTGTAAAAGTGTCTAGTCTAAGATGGGCAATGATTACAAGGAAAACATGTTTTTACATATGTTGCAACAAGTCATGCTAATCAGTGAATTCAGACATTGTTTGGCAATGGGGCAATGAGTTTCTGTTGAATCCGAAAGTTTTGTTGCCAGTGCTGCACAGGGGAAGCCGACGCAGTTCTTTGTGACTTACCTAATTCGGGAGAGCCAGAGGAGTGGGAGCTTTGCAAAAATCTCGGGTCATTTTGGGTACCAGGTCATTTTCGAGTATCAAACTTCCATTTTGAGATCCTTTTTTGACCCATACCCATTGCACCGATTCGTTGTGTAAATTGGGTAATGCTGAGAATGACATGGTGAATGACATCAGAAATGAGATGACCAATAGAAAAAGTTTATTTCAATTGCTTGATATTGGATTCAGTGTTTCAGGTTTGGGTTTGGGACGAAATCCATTCATACACACATTCACAGTATTTTCGGCCTTCCACTTCCCCTATAACATTCCCTAAGTATGTAAAACACCCTTGATGTATACACTATATATAGAAGCTATGCTCTTATAATGAGAGGAAACAGTGCGTTTGTCTCAATAACGACCTCAGTGAGAGGAACCATCCCTAAACCACCTATATTTGTCAGTATGGTCATTATTTGCACAGGAAAGAACATATTGTATGCGGCAAATATGTATGTATGTGTATTATATATATACATATATATATATGTATATATATATACACATGTGCATCAAGAGTTGACATGTATTTTTTGGAACCCACTCTTTTGAATTGACAACTTCTCTACCCTCAGCGGAAGGAATGCGAGCAGTTGTACCACCGAGTTGTCAAGGAGGCGTTGGTGGTGAAGCGCTTTCTACCAATAAATGTATGATCTTAAAACGTAAATTTCCGTGTAGCAAATTGAAGTTTAGAACCCCTAAAGCAATATCAATTGAATGCAAATGGATAGAAATATATGACTACAATTTGATAATCATCCCCAAAGGTTGATAGAAAAGTTGGACACCTGGAAATCATGTAGGAAACATCATTTACTTTACATCCTGCAGACACCGCTTGCGCGGTCTCTTTTTGGGGACCCCTGGAGTACGTCTCAAGTTTGAATAGCTTCACAACTGGAATGGGTATCCCGGGGATATCGCCATCATTGAACGATGAGAATATGCTTTTAGTCCTATGATTTTCCCAATGTTCTTTTGGTTCATAGTTTTCATACTATGATACCTGGCTTAAACTACGTGAAACAATCGTAGATCGTGGTATCATGATCTCTAGTAAAAACACCATCTAAATTCCATCTATAAAACCCCCCTCTATGTATATATATATATATATACCCATGAAGAATCAGGCCAAATTCCCCAGGCAATGAACAATCTCGTATAGATAGAGGTCTTAATGGGAAAATAGAGTCTATAAAGGTGGAGTTGTCCATTGCGATTTGTGATTAATGTTTTGTGGGTGAAACATATTGGGAAAGACCGTCCGGTAATTTGACATGGCAATGGAAAATCCACGCACTAAGTAGTTCGATTATTTTCCCCAGCTATAAACCTCCATTTAGTGCGGGGATTTGTTTGCCAATCATGTTTGATTACGGTAGGCTACATTCCATTATATACCATTAATATATCATTAAACTATATCCCCATTATATCCATCCAACATCATTAAACCATCAAACTCCCATGATATATATATATATATATTCATTAAACAATCATTGAACCATATATTCATTCCTTCCCATTAAAACATCATTAAACCATCATTAAACCATCATTAAACCATCATTAAACCATTAAACCATCCAACATCATTAAACCATCATTAAACCATTAAACCATCCAACATCATTAAAACATCATAGATCACCGTTCCGTTTCACATCACCCCGTTTCCCCCTTGGAGCGCAGGCCGCCCGTGTGCTTCGGAGCCAAGGGCGCCTCGTGCTGCTCTGCGGCCAGCCGGAGCTGCTGGCGGCGGCCGTGGTGAAGGCGGCACCAGGTTTTTTTCGGGGACGTTGGTGGGGTGTGACAGTGGGGATCTAACCGTCATGTCGTAGGGTTTCATGATGTTTCATTGTTTTACTTGCAAGTTATATATATATATTGGATGATTGGATCATGTTTGATCACTGATGGTTGGTTTGGTTGATTTGGGATTCAAAAGTGGATCGAACCATCTTTTGTAGGGGCTTTAACTTTAGGATCTTTAGGAATGACGTCCAGAAATCATGGTTCGTCCAGGACGTACGGGATTGCTAGTCGGGGGAATTTGAATCACCCTCCAGTGAACTCATTTCAGGGTTGCGATTTACCACAATTCAGCTGTAGCCATAAAGTGAGTTTATGTAATTTTTTCCGGAGGAAAAACACCCTGATTGGTTGACCACCTTAGATTCGAGGGAAATCAACAAACCAATGGGCTTAGCTTCAGCCATTCTGATGGAGGACGGCTGGCCTATCACTTTAGAATGGACATCCCCTGGTTACTGTAATAGTAGTGACAGTTGCACTGGCAATTGAAGGGATAATACCTAGAAACACCGCTGGGCGGAAAGAAGTGCCCAACTCTCCTGTAGGCAGAAATTTCTGCCTAACTCAAGAGGAAACGCCGAGTACAAAAACAAACGCCCATGCCCTTATAACAAAAATCCCGAACATCATCTGGTCCCCAACTATGTGGTTTTGGGCGCCCTGCATGATAGTTAAGGCCTTAGTTGCTGAATTGGTTGAGCAGGGCTTTGGCGAAAAGACCGCAAGCACCACATTTCCCCTCATTCCATTTCTGCCTAATTCTTTTTTTCCGCCTAATTCCGGGTCTTTCCGCATAAATTCCGGTTTTTTCCGCCTAAATTCCGGCTAAAAATGCCGAGGCCAAAAACTTGTTCAACATTCAACATGTTTTGAAAAAGGGCCCCCATCGGTATTCCTTGATTTGAGAGTTCAACCCCATTGAGATTGGACCCGTTGGGGATGCTTTTAAAAAAAGTGCCGACATGAGTTAGGAAATGCCGACGCATTGGATGTTCCGGGTAATTCCACCTAGGAGCTAGAGTAGGCGTTGAGGGAAGAAAAATGTGCCCAATGGATCTTCTAGGTATCAGAATTTCAGAAATCCTGGGTCAGTTTAGGGTAGGTAAAGTACTGTTAAACCATCTTATATATAATATGTTGTTATATACTGTATAAATATTCCATTCAATCCCCAATTTTCATGGTACCATTGTTTTCTTGTTAGATATAGTCCTGCTAGGATTCCGTGGTCACTCTAGCTGCAAAGCCGTTCAAGTTGTCTAAGTCATGTGGGTACCCCCAAAACATCCAAGTCATTGAATGGTTTTGGGGATCCCGACAATTTTAAGATATTTTAAGAAACTACCAAACGACTACATAAAACTGGTGATTTTCAGAGATCTTTTGCTGCTGACAAACGCTTCACTTTCCGACGATAATCTCGGATGGGATGCTGGAAAATCTCGCATACGTGGATGCTGTTCCTGTTGAATTTGTGGATAATTTCAATGTTGCTGTGAAGACATTGGACAACAGCCATGGACACTGACCTTCTGAATTGGGATGGAATCTGGGTAAGAGTTGAATCCTCACTGAGATGCGTTGGAGCCAAAAAACAATAGCACGGGTTGGGAATGGTTTGTGAACGTCTCCATTTTATTTCATCTTAACATCTTGATCCAGTTTGATCGATTGGGGGAGTCCAAACGTCACCTTGACATTACATTGCGACGACAAAAACACAAGGAACATTAAGGAACATTTGGGTAATCGATCAAATTGATTGAATTTGGTTTGTTTTGGTACATAAACATACGTAAACCAAATTTCGCTGGGTGTTAGCAGTGGCTCACTTGTATTTGTTGGCCCCATGTTAGGTAAAAGGTGATGATATCCCGAAAACACATATAAACTATACGTCGGTTAGGAGGAGCTGAAAGTATGGTTGTGTCCGTGTTCCCTGCTTGGGAGCCAAGGAGATATAAGGAACTACCAGGAGTCACTAAATGCTATCAACAGTTTCCCAGCCACAGGACATTACTGTAATTGGTTTTCTGATGTTCTCTGAAGATGTGGTACCCAAACATCAAATTGATTGTTATTATCTAAGGTGTTCACAAATAGATGGGAGGAAACTCCAAGTTCAGACCACCCGAATCCATCATTCACTGGTTAAATATGGCTAAATCATGCTAAATCCCCACTGTTCATCTTTAAATCCCAACGTTTGATAGTTCAATCCACGAGTTTCACAAGTTTCATGGTTAAATCCCATTCGATCAGTTCAACAGGGGTTGGTAACTGTCCCATTTTGGGTATATTGGACATCACCTTATAGTAGCCATTATAGACCATATACCTAATGGTTGGGTGATGTTCAATGGGGACATTTAATGACCCATGTATTCAAGCCCCATGTTTCACGGAGTAAATGCCCACATTCGATGGTGAAAGCCCCATGTTTTACGCCGTAAAGAGCCCCATTGTTCGACGCTGCCAGGGCCCCTGGAAGACGCGGGGTGCCTGGCCCATGACGCGTAAAGCAGAAGTGGAGCAGCAGCTAGACAGATCAGAGAACCATGGGAAGATTATCTCAATATCTATGGAGAATATTGTTCTAATCTTAGGGAACATATCTAAAGATATGAAGGAACTCGATATCCATATCGATATTAACCATTCCATACCATTAGATATTAGAATATATTAGATATATCTTGGGGAACATTTAATATGATTTATTTAATTCTTGGAGGAATCTATGGAGATGATTATTATATCTGATGTCCGTTCCAATTTGGATCTGTATTAACCATGAAACATTAGACATTAAACATCTATATGTATCAGGGAACATATTGATTTGGTATGATTATTGGAAGAATCTATGTAATTATATATATATAATCATTGGGGGAATCTATGGAAATAATTATCATTGTTGTATTGGAGGAATAGCTAGTATTAAAAGTGTATCTATAGTAATTGTCTCATATTATCTCCATAGATTCCTCCATTTTGGTTAACATAGTTATTGGATGTTATTGCAGGAATTTGTGGAGATAGTCATGATATTTGGTGTCCATTCTAATTTGGAGAACATTGGACAATATCCATATATATATATTAACAAGATATGATAATATATCGGAGGAATGTATATTTATCATTCAACAATCATCTTACAGATTCAACCCATGTTGGTTGATGATTTCTAGGGAACATGATATCATAAACAACCCACAATATAATCAAACAACCTGGATTTAGTTCTACAACTTGATAATTCCAGATGATTGTATTTATCATAATATAATATATATATATTGATTCTATCCCTAATATCATACATAGATGTTCATAAAATATCATCTGGATCTTATTATCCTGCTGGCTGATGATCTGCAAGGGAAATGATAGTCGATAGAGGTTTGAATGTCATTCATTTATATAACCAGCTGCAATCATTTAACCTTCAAACACCATTTTACATATGTAATTTGATTTAACCCATGTTGATGATTTGTAGGGGGAAATTATCATAATGAACAACCTAGTTTACCAGGCGAAATGACAGAATAAACAAGCCACAATATAATCAAACCATTTGGAGATTTACCCCACCCCCCAGAAATGGGTTTTGTTAAGTGTGGATGTGACCCACACAAATTGTGATACAAAACCAACAATCAGATTAATTTAGTTCAAAAAATCCATACAATGGAGCATGGAACAGAAATAAATATAGCACAAGGGGATCATATGCCATTAATCTGGGTAACTATGCCACAATATACTGTACCCATTGACAACCTTGAGATCTAACCTAACCCCATGATCCCCTGCCAAAGGAAACCTCCAAATGTTGTGGGCTTGAAGATAGTGAGCACTGAACAAACTCCTTCGTTCCACAGGCTAACCCCCCACCCCACACTGGAAAACGCTGACTCCCCCAAGGTTGGTATGCTTGGAAAAAATGGAGGATGCAGCCGATAGGCGTGCAGTGGAGGCAGCAAGCAAGGAGCTGAAGACTGACTGCTGCAATTGCTGATCAATCATGGGACAAACAGCTCCATGCCGTGGCCGCGGCTCCAGGAGATTGCCGATGCACCGGATGCAGCCCCTCGCAGGTCAGAGGACGCCAACCAGTTGTATTTCCAGAAGGTTTTTACCCTCTGCCTATTTAACATAGCCCTGGAAAATGGATGAAAATGGCCCATTTATAGATGGTTTACCTATTAAAAATGGTGATTTTCCATGGCTATGTTAGTTTAGCAGAGGGTATAAGAATTTTTAAGGCCACCAATTCCAGTGATTCCCCGGCAATTCTTAAAAAAAAACAGTTTTCTTAAGAATTGCCATTCAAGTTGGGGATATCATGACTCACCCAGTCATACCCAGTCACCTCTCTGGCCTAGGAGATCAAGGCGCTTTGGGAAAGACTTGGCATTTGACGAAAAAAAGGGCCGGCGCTGCGCAAGGTGTAGGCCTGATGGCCTGAATCAAATACATCAAGGCTATGATCTGGGGATCTGAAAGATGGTTACGCTGATGGGATCTGGGGATCACAACTTTGTTTGACGACTTTGCAGGACAACTTTGTTTGGACGATGTTGGACCCATGCACATCATTGCACATCTACATTCCAACTGGCCAAAACAATTACAGCCAGTGGCTGGTACAGTTTCAGAGCTTGAAGAATTGCCGTGTTACAGGGTCTCTACTGCCTTATTCCAGGCTCCCAAATCTCACCCCCAAAGCCCCGAAAACCGAAGCCTTCGGGCCAGGCGGGTGGATTCACTGGAACAGCTGGTGCATTCCACTTTGGCGGAGCTGGTGACCATCGCCAATGAAGCGGGTGTTCCCACCGGTGGCAAGGCGCCGTGCAACACGCTGCAGCTGTACAGGGTTGATGTGTTTGTTTTCTGTTTAAAGAAAAACGGCCCCTGAAGCTTAGGCTTGGAAGATGATGTTTCTGTTGGAAATGTTTGGAAATGGTGAATTTTGGTGTGGAGTGTGGCATCCTAATTTTGAGGGTGTATGGATGAAGATTCCACCATCCATTTGGTTTGGTCTCCAGTTTTTGTCTCACACGCAGCTGTATCGATCGAATGGAATTTACGACCTTGGTAATTTAAAACGACGTCACTCCAAGACTGCAAAGGACGGTCAGGATTGTGGCAACTATCCCAAAATTGCCGCATTCACGTTGGGTGACTTCTCATATCATATATCAATGCAAGGTGAGGCCCCAGCGATAAGTTGCTTTAGTTAACACATATAAACACCATGAAAACTCTACTACAAGTCACTTATAGAGTCCAAAAACCGCATCTATCCGCCATAAACATCCATAAACCAGGTAATTAACCAGTTTCCCAAAGTAGTTACTATGTTTCATGATATCCACCAGGCCGCCGGCTACGGCCTGGCGGCCTCACCCTGCTGCAAAAATTCCGTCCCTTTTTGAGGCCCGCAAAGGTGCTCAGAGTCAGGTTGGGAGTCTCAGATTCAACGGCGAAAGAAGGATGGCTTTGTCTGTGAAAGTTCAGGGGGGTGGATAAACCAAGGGTTTTTGGTTCACGAAACATGAGGAAACATGAGGATAAACTAAGGGGATACTCTAGAAAATGTGATTATGCAAATTTGAGGTCGTTCTGCTGGATATTGGAAGGTGACTAGCCATGAGGTATTAAGATGAGGGCTCTTGCACCAAATAGTGGGTAGATATTGTAGCGGAATACAAATGAAACTGGGTTCAAATATATTCAAATATGTGTGGCTTTCCATCTAAGGATGATCCCAATTCCTAATGCATTTACTGATTTCCAACAATTGTATCCTTGAGACCAAAGCAACGCATCTTGCACCGTGGCAAATCCGCCGCAAAAGTGGGGGATTGCCCATGCGGTCCATACGACATCTTCTTGGATGGCATCATGTTCTTGGCAATACATACAGTACATTCACAGTGAATATTTATATTGGAAGATATTGGAAGCTTGAATATTATAGGAATAATTATAGGATATTATAGCGTACTCTATAGCAATATTTCAGGGTTTCCTAAAATTGGGGTACCCCCAATTCATCCATCTGAATGAATGGGATTTCCAGTATAAACCATCCAGCTATTGGGGTACCCCCATTTATGGTACCCGCCCGATGTGATGCTGCCAGGCTCCCACCAGCCCCGGCGCCACTGGAGTCCAGGCAGATATCCGTGGCTGATGGGGAACAACATGGGGTCGGGAGGAGATACCCTGCACTAAACAAAACAAAACATGGGATTTTATGGGATTTTTTTATGGGACTTATATAATGGGATTTGATGGTGATTTAATGGGACTTAATGGAACTTAATGGTGATGTCATGGGATTTACCTTCTGATTACTTGACGTAGGTATGGTATAGATGGCCCATTTAGTTCGATGATTTACCTATGCGAAACCGTGATGTTCCAGTTTGCTATGTTCAATGACCAGAGTACAGGCAGATGTTGAAAGCGGTACCGATGGTATAAAATAGAGCTGTTCCCTTGTAGAAAACATGCAGGTGAAGGCGGTACCTTTAGCGTTTAGTATGTGTTTCACAGACATTGGATTAAGCATGCCAGACCTTGGATCATCTACTAACGCTAGCGTCAAGTCGTACCAGCTCGTAAAAGTCGTATCGGGAGGCCGTGCGCCTGGAAAAAGTTCAAGTTTGGCATCGCCACAACTTTTAGTAATTGAACGATTTCATTGTTTTGGGGTCGTGCGCGTGGAAATGGAAAAAGTTTAATTTTTGTATTGCGTTGATTTTTAAACTTATATTTGATCAATCATTCTTTCAATGGGGCAAACGCTGGTCTTTACTGTAGAATCAAATTGTATCAACTTGAATGGACGAAACTCTGCACCACCAAAATGAATGTGGAAGCCCTATAAATAATGGTCCCAATGGGATAAACCATGATAAACCACCTATCAAATCCTATCAACTGGTGTAGGATTCTTCCATCCACAGTATGATAATACTTATGTTTGGTGCAATTCGTTGAACAAAAGCGGGTGCCGAGGAGAAAGATCCAAGCCCTAGACGCTCCGATAGTGTCATTGCAAGTCCTCCCTGCCAGCTTCAGGCGGCCCAAACAAAGAAAACAATCTGGATACGAATCAACAGGATAGTTTTGGTAAATTGACAGTTTGGGTAAATGACAACGACCTTACTGCCTGACCTCGTTGTAAATGATGGCAACATCACTTCCAAATGGGTTTATTTCTGATTTGGAAACTTACCCATTTGCCGTGATATTTAGTCATGGGGGATCAATCAGAAATGGTTTCAACTCACGTTTTGGGATGGCAGCGTGTCAGGGAAATTATCCCCAAAATTGGATGAGATTTCTTGTAATCTCACACTTTCTTGGTAGGGTAATTCGCAGTGAATGGATGCTTTCATTATTAATAAATAGATTTTAAATGATCTTAATAGATTCTATTAGTAATTATGTCATGTTTGATTAGTAATAAGTTATTGCCCAGTTACCCCAACTAATCCTTGGTTTCATGATGTTTCATTTACATTCATTTACCTGAACACTGGTGAATTTGCACCGTCCCAGATGGCCCTGACGGGACTCGGTGGCAGTCGACAGGAGGCCGCGGTGCACTGTCGTCATGGGACCCAAAAATAGCAGCTTGAAGATGTTTTTCAATGAAGCTGTTTTCAACTTGGGGAATTGTTGCAATACCACAATACCAATCAATACCATGCATTATATAATGTTCTATGATTTTTTCGTAATCATGTATAGTCCGTTTGCAGCCGGGTTCCATGTCATGTTCAGATCGGCTGCGTTTCTGAGATTTCTCGTTGGAAACCGGGTCTGTTGCCGCTCGCTTCTCAGTCCAAGCAAGAGATCGACATGGTGAAGAAATGGCACAAAGCCTCGAGGCGGCGGAAATTTCGCCACAGAATGACCCACGAGTTTGGGTTGGAAACGAGTCCTATTGGAAAGACATGTTGTATGCATCCATTTCTGGAGCTGGTGTTCCAAACTTAGATTCCTTAGATATGCAACCCACTTAGATTTCTCTCCCAAACCATTTCAAGCTACTACTTGTATGGCTAAAAATTAGCAAAACATGTATAAAACATATATGTTTTCCCAGGTTTTCCCATCATTGTGGCCTTCTCCTGACCCAGATTTCTTCATTGAAACCCCCACCAGGGCCGTCAATGTAAGAGCCGCGCGGGCCGAACCACCTCCCAATGCGCCTTGGGCGAAGTGGGATCTGCGGGGTGTGGTCTGAACAGTAGGGTAGAATGGAAATCAATTGGTTCATCACCATTTTCCATAATATGGGGTGTATATATATATATACGTATATATATATATATGGGTATGGGTCAATACCTATAGATACATTTGTAGTGGGATGAACATCCATTTACCAGCTATTTGGGGGTTCACTAGGTACCAGGGTTTTGACCCATCCCCATATATATATATATATATCATGGTTCTGTTGGGCATGAAACAACATCTTTGGGACCATAGAATGATAGAATGGTGGTGTTTAGAATTAGCAGTATATATATACAATTATATACATACCATGATGATTTTATGATGTTTTTGATTTTGAGGTATACCTCATGTTCAGACACAGCCATATGTCCCATTCCATGTTGGACAAACATCCAATATCTATATTAAGCAACAAATGATCATGTTGGATTTACTACCAATAAAAGGGAATGATGAATACATATCATAAATAAGATTTCAATGGATCTACGATATGAGTATTGAATCTATCTATATAAACCATTCATTTTTTGGGTGTTGATAGGTTTGAGCCATTTGATTTTGGCACCGGTTAAATCTATAGATATATACAGTACATGCAATGTATAAGTCATTATACATAAATCTGGACAATTTAAAACGACGTCACCGACGTCACCCCGAAATAACGACCTAGCCTCAGAAATAACCCGTCACCATACAAGTACATATAAATATATGGTGTATGTATATATTATATATATATATATCCAGCCTTAGTATGGGCAGCTACGGCTGGAAAAAACGGGCGGCAAAGGCTGGACAAACAGAAAGATCCTAGTTTGTCAAAATAGGAGAATGATGTTTTCAGCGCGTTCAGAAGCAAGGTCCCTATTTTTCCAGCTTTAGTATGGGCAGCTATGGCTGCAAAAATCGGTTTTAGGAGGCAAAGCCTGGACAAACAGAAAGATCCTAGTTTGTCAAAATAGGAAAATGAGGTTTTCAGCGCGTTCAGAAGCAAGGTCCCTATTTTTCCAGCTTTAGTATGGGCAGCTACGGCTGGAAAAATCGGTTTCAAGGCGGCAAAGGCTGGAGAAACAAAAAGATCTCAGTTTGTCAAAATAGGAAAACGCGTTTTTTGAAAGGTTTGGGAGTTGTTTTTTGATGAGTACTAGGTTTGGGAGCCTCAATTTACAGGAAAAATTGTCAAACAGGCTGTGCGAGCGTGTTTGTGGGCACCGGGGGCGGTTCCGGACCAGCGCGGGTTCGAGCCCCTGTGCGTTTCAAGCCTCCCGGCGCGAAAGCCGGGCATTTGTGAGCTCGGGCGGTTTTTGGGGAAGACGGTCAACTCGAACAGCAACGGGGAGTTTTTGAGACTTAGAACTGCCAAGTACCTCATGCATACTTGATGTTTCTCAGGGTGGGAAACTGAAGTCGTCAGCGCGTTCAGAAGCAAGTTCACTATTTTTCCAGCTTTAGTATGGGCAGCTACGGCTGGAAAAATCGGTTTTTGGCGGCAAAGGCTGGACAAACAGAAAGATCCTAGTTTGTCAAAATAGGAAAATGAGGTTTTCAGCGCGTTCAGAAGCAAGGTCCCTATTTTTCCAGCTTTAGTATGGGCAGCTACGGCTGGAAAAATGCGTTTTAGGCGGCAAAGGCTGGACAAACAGAAAGATCCTAGTTTGTCAAAATAGGAAAATGAGGTTTTCAGCGCGTTCAGAAGCAAGGTCCCTATTTTTCCAGCTTTAGTATGGGCAGCTACGGCTGGAAAAATCGGTTTTAGGCGGCACAGGCTGGACAAACAAAAAGATCCTATTTTGTCAAAATAGGAAAATGAGGTTTTCAGCGCGTTCAGAAGCAAGGTCCCTATTTTTCCAGCTTTGGTATGGGCAGCTACGGCTGGAAAAAATCGGTTTTAGGCGGCAAAGGCTGGACAAACAGAAAGCTTCTAGTTTGTCAAAATAGGAAAATGAGGTTTTCAGCGCGTTCAGAAGCAAGGTCCCTATTTTTCCAGCTTTAGTATGGGCAGCTACGGCTGGAAAAATCGGTTTTAGGTGGCAAAGGCTGGACAAACAGAAAGATCCTAGTTTGTCAAAATAGGAAAATGAGGTTTTCAGCGCGTTCAGAAGCAAGGTCCCTATTTTTCCAGCTTTAGTATGGGCAGCTACGGCTGGAAAAATCGGTTTTAGGCGGCAAAGGCTGGACAAACAGAAAGATCCTAGTTTGTCAAAATAGGAAAATGAGGTTTTCAGCGCGTTCAGAAGCAAGGTCCCTATTTTTCGAGCTTTAGTATGGGCAGCTACGGCTGGAAAAATCGGTTCTAGGCGGCAAAGGCTGGACAAACAGAAAGATCCTAGTTTGTCAAAATAGGAAAATGAGGTTTTCAGCGCGTTCAGAAGCAAGGTCCCTATTTTTCGAGCTTTAGTATGGGCAGCTACGGCTGGAAAAATCGGTTTTAGGCGGCAAAGGCTGGACAAACAGAAAGATCCTAGTTTGTCAAAATAGGAAAATGAGGTTTTCAGCGCGTTCAGAAGCAAGGTCCCTATTTTTCCCGCTTTAGTATGGGCAGCTACGGCTGGAAAAATCGGTTTTAGGCGGCAAAGCCTGGACAAACAAAAAGATCCTAGTTTGTCAAAATAGGAAAATGAGGTTTTCAGCGCGTTCAGAAGCAAGGTCCCTATTTTTCCCGCTTTAGTATGGGCAGCTACGGCTGGAAAAATCGGTTTTAGGCGGCAAAGCCTGGACAAACAAAAAGATCCTAGTTTGTCAAAATAAGAAAATGATGTTTTCAGCGCGTTCAGAAGCAAGGTCCCTATTTTTCCAGCTTTAGTATGGGCAGCTACGGCTGGAAAAATAGGTTTTAGGCGGCAAAGCCTGGACAAACAGAAAGATCCTAGTTTGTCAAAATAGGAAAATGCGGTTTTCAGCGCGTTCAGAAGCAAGGTCCCTATTTTTCCAGCTTTAGTATGGGCAGCTACGGCTCGAAAAATCGGTTTTAGGCGGCAAAGCCTGGACAAACAGAAAGATCCTAGTTTGTCAAAATAGGAAAATGAGGTTTTCAACGCGTTCAGAAGCAAGGTCCCTATTTTTCCAGCTTTAGTATGGGCAGCTATGGAAAAATAGGGACCTTGCTTCTGAACGCGCTGAAAACCTCATTTTCCTATTTTGACAAACTAGGATCTTTCTGTTTGTCCAGGCTTTGCCTCCTAAAACCAATTTTTCCAGCCGTAGCTGCCCAGACTAAAGTTGGAAAAATAGGGACCTTGCTTCTGAACGCGCTGAAAAGGACCTAGCAGCCTTGCTGGGGTACAAATAGTTATTTTTCTGGTGTTATACAGAACGGATGCAGCAAATTAAGAAATCAAATCAGGTCCTGTTGTCGTATTAGGCCGACGTAAAATAATTTATTAATTCAGACGACGTCACTATTTCACCGGTAAAATTATTCGAATTAAGCGACGACCTGCGAAATATTATAAATTGTGCAGATAAATATACATATTTATAAATATTTGAATATATTTGATTTAATCGCCCGTCAGACCTATTGGACCTGTTTTTCTTTAAACATGTAGGATCCCCCAAAATGATAGGGCTTGATGGCTTAATCATTGCCTTATCGAATTGTGGGAGTACCTGCGAGAATATTTGATGATTGGGGAAACCCATGTGTTTCCTATTGAGAATGCGATTTCACCTGAGGAATGATACAAACATGAGTATCAAACCTACACGCCTTATCCTTGGGTAGATGAACATTGTTGAATCACTACTGGTGTGATTCTTGCAGGAATCGTGTGAATTGGCACACGCTGAGTGACTGGTGTAGAATTAATTGTACTTGGCATTTGATGGCATTTGATGGGTTATGATGTTTTTGTTCACTGATCATGTGGTAAACAGCAAGCCCAGTCAGAAACCTCCGATGTTGCATAGAGTTATCCCATGTCATACGAAACGTTTCTGCGGAATTTGGGGCTGGTGAATGATTTGGCTCATCACATTGACCCACTTTTTGGTGAGGCTTTTCATTACCTTGAAACCTTAGCCAAAACGGCCAAAACGGCCAAAACGCCTCGCATGGCGAGGCCAAATTCTTTGGGCCACGCTGAAGCAGGGTGACCCAGTGGCACCAGTGCAATGAAAGCATCATCTCTTTCCCTCAAAGCATTGTAAAGACTGGGTAACATAATCACCATCGAACAGAAAGGTTTCCAAGGTGCTCCCAGCTTCGCCCAGGTGTTTTTGTTGTCCGCCAGTTTCAGTTAAAAAATCATAGGAAGAACACGTTGGAGGTGCAGTTGGGGTGATAAAAATGGAGACAATCATGGGATTATATATTACCCCAACTATGCTGAGATAGGGGGGCATTATAACATATTATAACTATATGGTGACATATCAAATTCGACCTGGATTTGCACCCGCCAAGTATGGGTACCGGGTAAACCTGGTCTATCCCATGAATCCCCATGGATGGACGTGGACGAAGAGTGCATCGCCCGGCACATCCCCCGGTGCATCGCTTTGGGTTATATCACTCGTTTGGTTTCGCCAGGCTTGCTGGTGAAACATCACTTTGGTTGGTTAGATTGGTTTTCTGGTAGATTCTGGTAGACTAAGCATCAATTGTGAACTCATCTGAACTCCCTATGTTGGTGGCTGAAGTCGCTGAAGTCACCCTCCCTTTTTCAGGTGAAACCCGGAACAAGAGAAGATTCCTGACCCGTGACGGTCCCAAGTCTAACGTGCTGGCTCAGCTGATCTCGATGCCAAGATTCAAGGCTGATTGTTGCATAATATGTTTGGTGTAAGGAGGAGTGATCAGAATGTGGTAAGAGAACATAAGAGAACTACAAATAGTTGTTGCAAAAGATCCATATGTTGTATATAATGTTTGCTATATCGACATCACGAGGGTCGAGGTAGATCTTGTAGTTCGCTGCCTTTTTGGTGAATGTATATTATGTCATCATTCTTGTAAAGCAGTCTGTGGGCACATGTCACACAATAGTTTTAGTTTAGACTTTCTACAGCACTGGTAACAAAAAGTCAGCAGTGTTCAAAACATTTGTTGATTGAAGATCTCATAGGACTCCATGCTATCCATGACTATCCAATATAATATAATTTGGGGATACTTGGGGATTCTCGCAATCCATAGGAAATCAGTTCTTAAGCAACCATCAGCGGGAGTCAGCGTGGCACCTGGGTTTCGTTCACGTTTCGCATTTGCCAAAGGCATGATAAGCGAAGTGGGATATGTTTTCTGCACGTGTTGCATGAGAAGTTTCGGCCGAGAGGACCTCCTCAAAGGGAAATCCCAGTTCGACCTGATGGCAAAACAACGTCATGGTCTACAGTCTATAGTAATGTAGGCAACCCAATAAGTAAGCCCGAGTCATCATCATTCTTCTGGGGGGTATAAAAGCATCCCCAAATGATAGCTTTATGATTGGTTCGCCCACATTCTTGAGAGACTATTAGACTATATTGGACTTGTGTTATTATTGCCCACCTGCCAGGCGAGGGTTGTTAGATTTTATCAGAGCTGTTGTTCTCCTCCTTCTCCTCCTCCTCCAGTTTCTCCTCGACCATGTCTGCATCAACTTCCACCTCCACTTCCGCCTTGCCAACTCTTCGCCAAGCTCTTCGCCAACTTCCGAGCTCAGTGCGCACCGCTGGACCTCAACCTGGGACCTTCCCAGCTCAGTGCGCACTGCTGGACCTCAACCTGGGACTTCCCAGCTCAGTGCGCACCGCTGGACCTCAACCTGGGACCTTCCCAGCTCAGTGCGGGACCTGCCGAGCTCAGTGCGCACCGCTGGACCTCAACCTGGGGCCTTCCGAGCTCAGTGCGCACCGCTGGACCTCAACCTGGGACCTTCGAGATCAGTGGCACCGCTGGACATCAACGGCCAGATAGACGCCAGAAGATATTATTGCCAGATAGAACAGCCAGGATAGACTAGTCAGATAGAAGGCCAAGAAGATTATGCCAAGATAGAATGCCAGAAGGTATGCCAGATAGAATGCCAGAAGATATGCCAGATAGAAGTGCCCAGAATGTTTGCCAGATAGAACGCCAGAAGATTTGCCAGATAGAATGCCAGATAGAATGTCAGAAGATATGCCAGAAGATATGCCAGATAGAGTGCCAGAAGATATGCCAGAACAAATGCCAGAAGATATGCCAGGTAGAATGCCAGAAGATATGCCAGATAGAATGCCAGAAGATATGCCAGATAAAATGCCAAAGATATGCCAGAAGATATGCCAGATAGAATGCCAGAAGATTTGCCAGATAGAATGTCAGAT